TTTTATTAGTTTCTGTAATCAAACCCAAGTAGATATGTTCTTACATATTTAATACAGTGTGTCACCACTGTACTAATGCAAAAAAATTAACATTTCTAGACCAGTATGGCTGTCAATTTCTGTACAATGGCAACTCAACACAGTAAATTGGGACAACTTTTTCCAAAGTTGACAGCACAGTTAAAGTTTCCAAAAATTCAAATTATATATATATATGTATATAAATATATTTATATTTATATAAAAAGACCAATAATAGCAGTATGTTATGCAGCAACAGCTTTTCCAGGTTCTGCAGTCATCTGAACAAAATTATAGACATTCAGCACACTCCATTAAAAAAACAAAAACAAAAAAACAAAGAAAAGAATAATATCCAGAAAACAGCAAAGTTCTGTTGCTGTTGTGATACCTGGCACCTTTTTTTATTAGCATCTTAATCATCATCTGGAAAGAGAACATTCTAGAGTAATATCTTTAAAAATAGCTCTGATAAAGCATGATCACTACTATGTATCATAAAGCAGGTACAAAATATTTTACATTCACAGAGGTATGATACAGTACCGTCCTACATCAATAATACTAGAATCAGTTTTGGTTTGAAATTTGCTTTGTCTGCAAATAAGATTGCTACCCCTGCTTTTTTCTGGACTCCTGTCACGTGGAGATTTGTTTTCCATCCTTTAACTTTCAGTCTATGGCCTTCTTTTTGCACTAGGTGTGTTTCTTGTATACAACATATTGTTGAATTTTGCTTCTTATTTCATTTTGCCAGTCTATTTCTCTTGATTGGTGAGTTGAGGCCATTGACATTGCTGGATATAACTGATATGTACTGACTTATTATTGTCATGTTATTGGCCTTTTGTTGACTCTTTTTACTTTTTCACCTTCTCCTTTTAGTTTCTTGTCTTGCCTATTTGATTTGCTCTGTTGGGCCTCATGGTGTTGTTGCCGTCATTATCTTTTTCTAGGATCTTGTTTAGAATTCTTATAGTGCTGGTTTGGTATTCATGTAGTTTCTCAGGTGTTCTTTGTCCTGGAAGTATCTTATTTCCCCATCCATTTTGAAAGAGAGTTTTGCAGGATACATCAGTCTAGGTTGGAGGTTGTTCTCTTTTAGTACTTGAAATGTCTCACTCCAGGCTCTCCTTGCCCCAAGGGTTTGTGTTGAAAAGTCTGCTGTGATTCTAATGGGCTTTCCTTTGCATGTGATTTTTTTCTTCTATCGCTTGTAGTATTTTGTTCTTCTGTTGGGTTTCTGGGATCTTGATTATTATATGTCTAGGTGTAGAATTTTTTTTATTGTGGCTAGTTGGGGTCCTATATGCCTCACTTATCTGAATGTCAAATTCTTCCTCTCTGTTTGGGAAGTTTTCTGTCATTAATTGTTTGAACAGCTTTTTAAAGTCATTTGTATTTTCTCCTGCTACTTCATGGATTCCTATCAGTCTTATGTTATTCTTCTTTGCATCATCTAAGAGTTGTTGGATTGATTTCTCATGATCCCCTACTGTTTTTAAGAGACCTTTCTTTTCATGGTCACTGACTACAATCTTATCTTCTATATCTGAGAGTCTATCTTTGCATTCTTTTGTTCTGTTGCATGCACTTTTAATGGAGTGTTTAATCTCCTGGATATCTGTTTGAATCTGTTTTATGGATTCCATTTCTTTCCTATGTTGGGCATTTATTGTTTGCATTTCTTTCTTATGCTGGGCCTTCATGGTGTCTATCACGGTCCTGAGCTCAACTATTTTTTTTTTTTTTTCAGTTTCTGCTCTAGAGTTTTGAATCACTACTTTCATTTTGCTCACCATCTCTATGGTTATCTGAGAAATTATTTCTGTTTTGAATTTTTCTAGAGCCTGATTGATCTGTTTTGTTACTTCCTGTGCTTTGAGTTAAGGATGTCCTGGTGGTTCACTATCGGCCTTTTCATCCTCATTTGCCCTACTGTTTGCCATTGGTGAACTGGAAGTCTGTCTTTGTGTCTTAAATTTTTTCTCATTTTCATTTTTGTTGTCGGGCTGTCCTTGGCTTAATCTCTGGATTGTCACCCAAATCTTCCTGATATAGTTGTGCCCTAGCTTCTGGGTCTCTAATGACCCACAGACATTCTCATCTTCATAACATCAGAGAAAATAGCTCATCAAATCAACCACAATCCTTTATCCCAACTGATGCAATTTGCAACACATTATGATCAAGCATAACTTGGAAACTAACCACCTGTGGTAGTCACTAGTCTATCACCCTTAAACCATTTGAAATAAATTGAAACCAAGAAGCAGTCCAGAACATGTCTGCAGTGAACAAACTTTTCAATATAGTATATTTACCATTTAGTGGCTCAGACAGAGCTACGATGAAGACACCTCATCTCAGTTAGCTGATGGCTGAACCCCATGACACAGGCTGATCTCAGGCTGCAAGTACCAGATTGAGTTCCCCAACCTTCTGAACAGTTGTACTGCACACCATTCTACTACAGGTTTCCCACACCCTTTCTTTAAAGATGTTCAAAGTTGGGAACTCAGAAAAATACCCTTTATGACCACCTCTGCCTCTGCAGAGTGGGTCCAAAGACTGGCACAATCAGGAGGTCTTAGAGTGTGCGGGGGGGGGGCGTAAGGGGAGTTATGGGTGTTCAGGGGCACCTGTGCAGCTATCTTCCTGGCACTGGAGCAATGGTGGCTCCTGGTGGGAGAAGCCAAAGTTCTTGAATGGTGCTTCTCAAAAGATGTTTTAGGACTTTTTGTGGGGTTTTTATGCATCTTTCAGGAAGTTTCTTGTATTAATGTTGAGAATGTTATATGGTCCATTTTCTTACATCCTTTGTGAATGTTCATAGTTAAGGCAAGTGTATCTCAAAATGCTCTGCCTTAACTATGAGCTTTTTGAAATTTATTTTTTGTTGTTGGGCAGGGATTGAACTCAGAGTCTTGTGTGTGTGAAGCACATGCTATACCACTTAGCTACGTTCCTAGTTCATTGGAGTTAAAAATTAACTATGGCATGTAAGTAATATATGAACTTCTTATCCTAGTAAAAAAATGAAAATATAAGACAAAGTTCTTTTTAAATATTGAATTTCTAATATTTATTGAGTGTCTATAAAAAAGGATCACAATTTTCAACATGAACTGTTTTTTGGAATGCAAAGTCAAAAAAGAACAACACAGATAAATTCTTATATGAACTACAATGCAATACCACTTTACAAAAAAATCTTCTTCAATTATCACATCTAAGGCATAAATGACAAAAGCACTTTCCATATACAGGTATCATGCACACTGACAATGCATGTGTTTTGCTTTCTTGGCCTTTTAGTAGGATATACTTGACATCTCACTGATATTGCTGTTTTGTCAGGAGTTTCTTATATTATATAGTATGCAGTTAACATAAACATAAAATATCAGCAAAATAAAGAATTAAAACCATAATATACAGTGTGTTTAGAATAGCCTTCAACATTTTCACATCAGCTGTGTATTTGCTTGCAAAACCTAAATGATAACATCAAAAATAAATTCCTATAAATGAAAATACCAATAGAACTCTACAACAAAAATAAGCTTGGCTTCAATTGTTACACCCAAGGCAGTCTTCACACATGACAACTGCATGTTTCATGCACATGTGTCACTTACACTGACAGTATGTATGTTTTCTTTTCCTGTCCTTTCTTGTAGGACACAGTTGACTTTTTGGTTTTCCTGTTACAGCAGGTCTTTGGGATTGTGTGCCTGTTCACCTGTCAGTTCACCAGTGTGCTCCAGAATTTTTTTGCATAGGTTCTTGAGCAGAAACATTTTGCTTTTCCTCTGCTATAAATGATATTTTATGAGTTCTAGTCCCAATCCTTTAAGAAAATTTCTTCATGACATTTTTCACTTGTTGTTTTCTTTGTAAACTACCAATCTATGCCACACATGTTAAGGATCAAGTAAAACACCACCACTGGCAATGCTTTGTGTTTTGAATGACATCATAGTTGCTGCGTAACTCATTAACAACATCTATTCTACCTTTGGTAGGTTTTCATTTTGTCCAGGTTTCCCTATCAGTGTTTCCATCATGGTGCAATGTTGACATAAGCAGTACCAGTTTGTTTTTCTTTGCCATTTACCAGGCCAATCTAAATCTTTCTGAAATTCAAAGATTGTGCTATACAATTCTCCATTTTGAAATTGCAACATTTCTTTTGGAATTTCTGCTTTGTTCCTGTGTACAGTTCCTGTGCTGGTCAATCTGTGCTCTGTTAATAAATATAACATCAGTTGGAAACTAGTAAACCAACTGTCAAATGTCACATTTTTATTAGTTTGGGAGATGAGAGCAACAAGTGTGTTAACAACATCATTTGGCTTATTACTATATGAATATATATATAATAAATATATATTTAGATCTATCACTTTTCTATAAGTCTTTTACATTCCTGCGATTACCATGAGAAGTCCCTGCTAAGTACAGCAGACCTATAAATGCTTGCAGTTTAGCCAGTGAGGTGTCATATACATACATTTAAAAAATTTGGCTATTGGTGCATACAGTATATTTTACTTGCATTTCCGACTTTCTGTATTTCACAGCATCTTGTAGCATTTTATCTGTTACATTTTCCAATATTGAATGACATTGCTGTCATGTGCCCAATACATTTCACCCTGCCAACATCCTCACTATATATTTCAGACCTAGTTCTAATATTGGATCATTCCATTTGGTTCTGTAGCCATTTTGCAACATTTTGACTAGTCAAATATTTACTCATATTGCTGTTTTCTTTGTCATATGAATAAAAAAGTTCTCCACTCCTTTGTGTGTATCAGTTGATTTTTTTGCTCCATTTCACTGTCATAGGAACTTTGGCTCACATGGCCAATGTCAAAGTTATTATCATCATCATCCACCCACACCACTCTTCTGTTATGAAGCATATATTTTACCATAAAGGACCATCTTCATCATCCATGCATGAGTAATCTGATGATTCATTTTTCACCTCCTTTAAAACTTGCAAATCTGGTTTTTCATATGCCTTTGTACTGAATTGGTCTACTTCAAAATCATCTCAGGCAGCAGCTGAAAGAAAGACAAAGTTTAAGGGTTCCAATTTTGATCCTCCCTGAGACCATTATTAAAATACCAAATCCACCACATCTTACAATTATCCCCCTTTTTTTCATGTATGGTACTGGGGGTTGAGCCAAGGGACTTCAAATTGAAATAGATATCTAGCTCTATTTTTTTTTTTAATTTGAGACAGTATTTCACCAGGTTGCCCAGGCTGGGCTCAAATTTCTGATCCTTTTGTCTCAACTTCCCACAGTGATAGGGTGACAGATGTGTAACACTGTGCCCAGCTGATTTAAATCTATCTCTTGTATTGCTATGTGTACTCTGTGATAATGATGTGTCACAATTTAGCCATTTACCTGCTATGAGTTTCCGGGAAAAAGAGGGGCCTGAACATAGGTAGGAACCATTCCTTGCTTAGTCTTGAGCAACAGCATGGCTTCCACCTGCATGATGTGTTGCCAGGATCATACACACAGAGCTACACACACACACACACACACACACACACACACACACACGAAGTAGTTGGTGACTGAGGCAGTCAAACCATCCAGGGTTTCTAGGTTCTCCCACAGGTGTACAGCGTACAAGAAAGAGGCCAGCAGGGACATGACCATGTTCTTCTGATAGTACAAGGTAGCTTCTTTTTGTTCACTCTCCTCTGGGAACAGGAATAACCTGCAGAAGACAGGCAGTTAGTCCTCGTTGTAGATATAAGCAGAATCAAGGACACGAGATATTTTATGGATTTCAAAAAATTTGGAGTACTGGAGAGGCAGGTGCTGAAGATAGTACAGTATTCAGCACAGCCAGGATCACCCAGTAGGCATGGCAGGTGGGGAACACATATGGCTGAGCTTGGGAAAGAAAAACCAGCTAAACAGTGTGGATTTCCTGGAAAGACTAATTTCATCATCCCCACATCCCTACTCACTAGTTTTATTTTTAATTTTTGGTTCTGGGGATTGAGCCTAGAACGTCCCACACGTAAGCACCACTAAACTACACCCTCTGACCCTTACCAGTGTCCCCCCCTCCCAGCCAAGTCTGAGACATGATCTTGTTATGGTGCCCAGGTTAGCCTCCAATTCTTGAAATCAAGCCATCTTCCTGCCTCCCCCTCCAGAGTAGATGAGTCTACAGGCTCTTGCCAGTGTTAATGTTTTTTGTTTTTTAGTGTATTTTTAAGTGTAATGATCATGGAAATAGTTTTCCAAAGTGACTGCACCAATTTATACCAATGTTTATGCTTCCGTTGATATTTGTAATCACTGCAGTCAAACCGCCCAGCCCCGGAATGACCCAGGCGACACACCCATGACCACTTCCTGGACCGCCCCTTCCAGCCGGAGGTCCCGCCCCTTCCGCCTAGCGGTGCCACCTCTCTGCCGAAGCTCAATTCCCAGGGCAAGCCGCGGGAGGGGCGGGGCACGCTCCAGCCGTGACGTCAGTGCCGGCTAGACGCCATCTTGCTAGTTTGTGGCTTGACTTGGAAGCGGTGGTGGTAGCTGCAGCCGTAGTGAGGGCGTGGAGAAGGGTGGGGTGAGTGGGCGAGGCAGCGACGAGGGCGGCAAAATTCTCCTCCCCTTGGCCCCTCCGCGTGGGACGGCGTGGACGTGTTTTCGGAGGGATGTCCGCCTTCTCTGAGGCGGCGCTGGAGAAGAAGCTGTCGGAATTGAGCAACTCGCAGCAGAGCGTGCAGACCCTGTCCCTGTGGCTCATCCACCACCGCAAGCACTCGCGGCCCATCGTCACGGTGTGGGAGCGGGAGCTACGGAAAGGTGAGTTGCCCGCGCCGCTCGGTCGCTGCCCGCCACTCAAGCGGGCTCCTTGGTCCCCCTCCCGGGCGTCCCTGCGTCGGAAGAGCTGTTTCGGTGCCTTCGCACGAAGTCCGCGGGCTAGGGGCAGCAGCGTGCATCGCGCTTCCTGCAAGTCTGCGCTTAGTGCGTATTTATTTGATAAATTAATGTTTTAAAATTCGACTAATTTCGTCCCGTAACAGTGGCGGGGTCTTGGAACTCTGCACCCAGTTAGGGCCAGGAACTCAAGCAATCAGTATTGTTTTCACTCTGTGGGTTATAATGGAGGATCGAGGAAGGAGGAGGTAGGGAAATGAAGATTGGTGTGTGTTTGGGAGTTACTGCCATCATTTATAGAACATATCAACCTACATTTGTAAAATTAATGGAAATAAATCAGTTTTAGAACTGGGAGTCTAAAATGGGTCTCGTGATGCAATGGAAAGTACTGACTTCGTAAATTTTAGAGGATCTGGATTGGGGAATTTCTTATAACTTCTGGATTGTAGTTGCCTCACCTTAAAAATGGAGGCATTAGATTAAGCGATCTAAGAGCCCTTCCAGCTCTGTGATTACCGCCTGAGCAGCGTCATTAGTTTGCAGAACAGTTGATGGTGTTTCTGCAAAAGAAAACTTTTGAGCAGACATCTGTTACTAAAATATCCAAAATTGAGTTCACTTCTGCAGAGCAACATCATCTGAAAAGACCTGATTTACGTTAGTGAAACTGAAAATTTAAACTCATTTGCTTAGTTTATATCTTCTTCTTAATTCATTAGGCAGAGCGGGCACTCTTGTTTCGGATATTCTGATGGTTATAATTGTGTTAAGGATTTTGTTTTTATTTTTTGTTTTTTGAGACAAGCGCTTGCTTTGTAGTTCAGGTTGGCCCTGAACTCACTGTGTAGTGCAGGCTGGCCTCGAACTTGTTACGATCCTCCTGCCTCAGCCTCCCGAGTGCTGAGATTACAGGCCTGCGCCACCACGCCCAGTTCAGTGTTAAGGATTTTAATAAACCATCATTAATTAAAGTAGTTGCTTCTTTACTGATTCAGTGTGAATGCCATGTGAAAGCTATATGGGATGGAGACAGATTGTACTTGTGTATTTGTTTGTGTCTAAAAATGTCAACATAAATAACATAACAAATTGAATTATAGCCCTTTTTTCATTTTCTGTATATGCGTGTATTGGCATCAGATGAGGAATTAAATGACCTATAAGTGGAAAATATTTGAGAAATATAGATATAAAGGTCGGGAAAACAAATATGAACATCTTCACAACTGTAGTTTCAAAATCTGCAACAGGTTTATCCTGTTAGGAGGAGAACATTTAGAACCACTTAAAACCAGTAAGAGTGATACTCCAGACCCATTTAAGAACTGTTGCAAATCAATAGATAAATGGCAACATTTTATAAGCTTTTCACATGAGGAAACCTGAAAGGCCAATGAATGGTCACTACGATTTAAAAAACAATACTTAGATATTCCTTTATCTTCATTAGTTTGGTAAAAATAAAAAGTATGACAATATAAATAAACTATTGAAATAGCCGGGGATTTAGCTCAGTGGTTCTGCTGCCTGCTTCACAAGTGCAAGGTCCGATTACCAAAAACAACACACACAAAAACTATTGAAGTTGATGAGAAACAGTAACATTTAGTACTGCTTGGTGGAAAAGTAAAAAGCCTTAACCATGGTTGAGATCAGCTTAGCGGCCTCTAAATAAGATGACCCTTTGATTTAGCAGTTTCCTTTCTAAAATATGCTCATAGAATTATTTAGCAGTCTTGTAACAAAAATGGAAACAGTTTAAACATTGCATTAGAGAATGGCTAATTGTGAAAATTCATATATAATACTATCCAGAGGTTTTCATAAGGTAAAACTGCAAAATATGACTGAATTAAAAAACAACATACAGGAAGAACATGTTTAAATGAGATGGGGAACAAGGGAGGAAGAAGGAGGAAGGAAAGGAAGGGAAAAGGGAAAATTTTAAACAGCTTTTTGTTTGTTTGATTGTTTTTTGTTTTTTGAGACAGGGCCTCACTATGTAGTTGAGACTGACCTGGAACTCACTGTGTAGCCCAGGCTGGTCTCGAACTCACAGCGAACCTCCTGCCTCAGCCTCCCAAGTGCTGGGATTTCAGGGACGCGCCACCACGCCCAGATAAACAGCTTTTGTAAGGGGATAAAGGGTTGAAGGGAAGAGAGGGGAATGGAAAAAGTAAGATATATTATGTACAGGTACAGATTTCCTATGATGAATGTGATCAATATGTATGACACATGTATTAGTAAAAAAATAAAGACACAAAATCTTTAAGCAAAGTACAGACCAGTATGCCATTTGGTAAAGTTTAAAAGGATGAAAATGACACTCTCTTGGATGCAGTAAAACACGCATAGCACAATTAGAGCTACATTCCAAAATAGTGGCGGGTGTGGTAGTGCATGCCTGTAATCCCAGCACTTGGAAGGCTGAGATAGGAGGATTGCTGCGAGTTCAAGGCCAGCCTGGGCTAGAAAGTGAGTTCAAGGCCAGCCTGAACTACATAGAGAGCCTGTCTCAAAAAAATGGTAAGATGTGATGTCAACTGGGTTTGATGACCGTCATCTGTTTAAATACTTCATAATTAGGAAAAATTAAGGCATATAAATGAGATGCGTTGAGGAGAGTGATGATAATGAAAATAATGATGATAGTGAACATCTGCTGTAATTCTCATGTTGGCCTGTATTAGTCCACCAAGGGTTTCAATTCCTTGACATGTGACTGCCTCTGCAGAGAAAGCCTTTGTGTCCTCCCACTCCTCTACAGTTTGTTAATCAACTTCAGAATCCTCACTAATAATAGTAATCACTTACTGGTTGTGTACTCAGGAAGCTATCAATTCATATTGTATTGGAAATCGGGATATGTATGTCACATATTGGTGATGAAGTAGATAGATAGTGGACTCTTATGTTTTCCTGTTTTTCAAGTTTTAGCTTCTTTAACCCCTACAGTCCTGAAGGTTCTTAAATATTTGTTGAATTTATATTCACTAATAAGATTTTTTTTATTAGTATGTGGTGCTGAGTACTGTATATTCTTGGCTGCTCTAATTTGTTTCCAGAAAAAGAGAATCAAAGTATTTTTCATTTGCTTTAAAAATATACAGCAATATAAGCCAGGCGTGGTGGTGCACGCCTATAATCCCAGCACTCCGAGGCTGAGACAAGAGGATCGCTGTGAGTTTGAGGCCAGCCTGGGCTACACAGTGAGTTCCAGGTCAGTCTCAACTACATAGTGAGACCCTGTCTCAAAAAAAATAAAAATAAAAAACCCAAAAATATATATACAGCAATATAAATCAATAAAATGAAGCAATTCTATTCTGATTTTACAATTCAGTAGCTTCTGTATTGTCTGATACTGTGCATGTTTCCATCAGAGTTAGAATTGAACAAGGGACAATTTGCACTAAGTTTTATACTTAAAAATGATGGTTACAGACTGACTATAAATTTGAGTATAAATTATTGCATCTTTTGTTGTTGTTGCTGCTCTTGTTTTGAGACAGGGTCTTATTGTAGTTTAGGCTGGCTTTGAACTCACTGTGTAGCCTAGACTGGCCTCAAACTCAAACTCCCAGCGATCTTCCTGCCTGAGCTTCTAGAGTGCTGGGATTACAGGCGGGCAATACCACGCCTGGCTACTCTTACTGTATCTTTGAAGATGATTGCTGAATTATATTTTGGGTACATAAGCATTCTCTTCCTTTTTTTTTTTTTTTTTTTTTTTTTTTTTTTTTTTTTTTTTTATTTTTTTTTTTTTTTTTAGATTTTTCACATCCCCAATAAATTCTATAATATAAAATGATTTTTATAACAATTTTGATAGGCAGATATAAATTATCAATAGGCTGATTAAAAATAAAAGGCTCATTATGAAAGATGTCAAATATATATGCCATTTAATCTCATGGCTTCAGCAGTTACATATTTTTGTTCACACTTTTAAAAAAGTTATTTTCTTAAAATACATCAAATATCCAGTGATTTTTTAAATTAGCTTTCCCCTCAGTTATTAGTTTGATTTAAGATCCACATAAAGCTTATTTATTGTGGTGGTTTACTGTATTCCTTTAATCACTTTACATCTCTGGATTCCCTCAGTCTTCTATTTTAAATTTATTCTTTGAGAAAACCAAATTGGTTGTTTCATAGAAATTTTGACAGTACAGACTAGGAATCTCTCAGACTTTATCATTTGAGGATCCCTTTACTTTTAAAAAAAGTATTGGGGATTCCAGGTCTTTTTTCCCCCTGCCCTGCCTTCCCTTATTTCTCTGAGAGTAGTGTCATCATTTCTTAGGCTGGGCTTGAACCTTATACCCTACATTTTTGCTTTTGTGTGTGATGCTGGGGTCAAACCTTAGATTTCTGGTGGCTAAGCACTTTATGAGTAAGCTACACCCCAACTCTTACAAGTCTTTTTTTTTTTTTTGGTACCATGGATTGAACTCCAGTCCTTGTGCTTGTGAGGCAGGCGGCAAAAACCACAGAGCTAAATCCCCAGCCCCTGCAAGTCTTTATAATGTCTGAATGGAAGACAGTTGGATTCTCATGTTTGTTTTTGTATGAGTCTTGCTGTATCACACATCACATGATGTCTGGAGAAACACCACAATATGCATATGAGAGAACAAAAGTGAGAAAAGACAGATGAAATCTTAGCATTGTTGTGAAAGAAGTTTTGACTTCATGAAGCCCATGAAATGGTCTTGAGGACCACTGAGTATCCACAAACTGCTAAGAACTAGACCATTTTCTATAATTCAGTAGTTAGATCAAGAAACTAGGATACATTTTTTGCCTTAAGGAGATACATTTCCTTCACAATATTAATTGCCCTGAAAACTTACACTAAATTTAGGAAATTTTCCTTTGGCTTACATTGTAATTTTCTTTAGGTTTTCTCAGAACAA